TAGGCCAAATCACCCTTCGTCACATGTTTATGATTCCAGTTTATTAATCAATTGCTTTTTTAAATACCATATCTTTTTTATATCATAGTCGTAACTCTTATTTCATTATTTATTTATTTACCTTATTCCAACCAGTGTTTTAATGACCGGTTGACATGGTAAATTTGTCAGCTATTGAACCGAAATCTTTTATTAACCAGATATGGTTTGGCTTAATTTGAAAGGAGTACAAATACAAATATATACAGTATAAATACATACAAAATAAAACAAAATATATTTTTACAATTTTACTCCTTCCAAATGGAGCCTTCCCAGTTGGATGCCCAATCTGGTTTTGGATACAAACTTCCCAAGGCTACCCAAGAATCAAAGGGTTTGGCACTTATGAGCCAATATTAGAATTATCATTGTACAAATCCACCCACCTCTCAATGAAGTAGAATTCAGTGAAAAGAGAATTTAGCAGATTTGGGGACTGATCATTTCATTTCCATAGAACGAGATGGGAAGTGGGAACAAAATGAAATCAAGAGTTATGCCATTCTGAGTATCAGCGTTTATTACTCTTTCAAGTTCAATTTAATAATATAACCAAATGGGATGCCCAAGGGGTTAACACAGTAGGTCCGCTTCCAATCCGACCTTGACTGCTCAAGAAGAACCAAGTTGAGATGTACCTGCACAACCAAAAGAAATCACATTGTGACTGAAAATAGCCCTGGGACTGCAATCAATTTTAACCCAACCTTAGGCATGGAGAGTTTGAATTTTATAGTTCTGAAGCATCTCATTCATAGCCGATGTCCTCGTTGCTTGAAAAAGTAAGGATACCGAAAATATATTCCATCTTAATGCACATATACTTGAATTTTGCGAGTGTGTGTGCCCCCTAGACAGAGGGATAGGGGACCCACCTTGAGTGACACAATAGGGGAATCTCTGTCCCATATAAAGTCTATCCTTTTCCTTTGTATATACCCTATAATTATAATGAAGGTTCAAAATATCAATACAGTCCGATACGTCAGTAGGGGTGTATCAGACTGTATTGGGACTTGCTCTCCTATTTTTTTGAGTTTTTGTTTTTTAATTTAATTTAGAAGGATCGATTTAAGGTCTGCCTATCCCCTGAACTGGATTAAACCTTAAAACATTCTTTGTAGGGATGTATCAAGAAGCCCCTGATACGATATATCGATTAAACGGTTTTATACATATGTATCAAAATTTTAAACCTTGATTATAATTATAATTTGATCCAATACCTATACCTCTGAGAAAATTAAAATACTTCTCTCTGTTCAAGGAGCACTTGGGGTCCATTTCTGTTTTATAGTTGGGGTAGTGTTAGATCAATTTAACCTCTGCCCTAGAAAGAAATTTCAGTTAAAGCATATTTGAAGTCCCAGAAGATGGCCCATCAGGCCTAACAGCCTAACAAGTGACGCGTAGGCCTGAATGACTATGGGTAGACAAAAAACCAGCCCAATTGAGGTTCTAGTCCTACTTGCATCACCGTAACCCATTTTTCAATATACATTGTTGGGCTGGGCCAATGCCTGACTATAGTTTATCACAAGTCCATCCAAGAATAAAATGAATGTAAATGTAATCAAACCTTAGGCCTAATGATTTAAGGTGAAACTTTCAAGTCAAAATGTTTAGAACATACATACACACGCATATACTTAGATGCGGTTTACCATTTTTATTGGGGGAATGCACCTTTTGCACTTCCACCATCTTAAGTACACAGTACACACCTAGCTAATGATATTACAACTTGGTAGACAGACTTCGCGCCCTGTTTGGCCTACCCAAAGCTGATGACCATTAACCAAAAATTTTACGCTGCTTGCTTTTTGTTGTCTACCCCATTTTAGTTACAAGGTCGAGTCTAGGCTGGGTTTTTATATTTTGTTCTGTTTATAGATGAAATAGGAAGATTACATCAACTGAGCTGTAACCGGCACCTCTGTGGTTGTCTTAAAGTTGGAGCCGGTTGAAGCAGATTGGATCGAACCAGGATACTTATCTGATTCAATGTAAGAGACTAAGACTGCAGCAGTTAAGGCGAGAGAAAGAGAGAGAAACGATATCTGTCAAACGAGGACGGCAGCAGTTCAGCCATGCCATGGTTTTCAAAACTGAACTGGACTGGAAAAACCGGGGACTGGTAAGGTGACTGGTTTCATTTTACCCCAGAACCGTTATTTCGCCAAAAAACCGCTGACCATGGCAGTCGAACCTTTTGAACTGTCCAACAGTTTTGGTCATTTTTAAAATTTTTTAATTTTTTTATCAGAACAGGCCGTCCATTCAGTTCAAATGGTTGGACCGTTCGACTCGAAAACTGGACCCCTGACCAGTTGAGTTTTAAAAACCTTGAGCCATACAACTAATGCTCACTCTGAAACAGAAAGCACCACCAAAAATACAAGAGTAGCAGTGCCTTGAAGGGAAAACAAGTTTAAGGAATTTCGCAAAGAACATTTCCTCAACTTGCTATTTCTCTCTTATTTACTTGCTATGGAGCCAAACATAAGCATAGGCTCACTGTCGTGTCGAGTTTGACAATAGATAGATAGAAAAGTAATGGTGGGCCGCAAAGTGATGGATGGCAAGTGCTCACTGGTGAGACGTCGTTGATGGGGGGCATATCTCAGATTTCACATGGTTAAGTTCAGACCATCCAAGTGCAGTCTCCACTCTCCAGTCCACAACTCCCAAACTACCAACTCATTTGGACAAGTCCGAAATCCCAATCATCCAAATTGTAAGTGTGATTGAGGAGCTTGGGTGGAATAAGAAAAATGGGCTTAAGGCCCACAGAAGACTAAGCCATGGACCATCACATGCCCAAGTATGGGTGTCATAGCTCGTGTGTCTGTGTGTGAGTTATGTCGAGTGAAGAGGAGACGAAGTTGGCCAGGCGCAGGTTCCACGGAGACTACACATGGCACAGGCACTGCTCCCATTTGGGTGGTGGACCCAATAGAGATCCCGTAGCCGTAGTCAAAGATGGAAAAAGTCGGTAACAATGACTTGCGGCCAACCAGGAGGAACTAAAATTAGGGGCCCAGATGTAAATGGGCCCACCTAAGAAATGATTTAGACCGCTGGTTGAATCGTTGAAATTGGAAGTATCATGAAAAGCAAAATTCATTTTAGGGAATGTCAATTGAATTGATAGATAGATAGATAGTACCGTAAAAGAAGAAAAGGAGAAGTATAGGGAGCCCAGTAACGCACCAATTCCATTAGCAAGTGAATGGTTCCGAATTCCAATCCGATCCAATACAACGAGAGTGGGGGTCGTTGGATTTTGGAATCTGTATCTCTCATCATTTGCTATCCTTGCTCTTGTGTCCATTCATAGTATGGGGGATGGGGATGGGGTGCTTCTTCACTGGCATTGCCCAAATGCGAATAAAGAAGGCAAAGACGGACAAATGAAGAAAAGAAGGCACTGGGGAGTGGGGAGGCAATGCACAACACACCCACCCCCCGTACTAGTAGACCACTAGCCTCCTCCCATTCTCTCTCTCTCTCTCTCTCTCTCTCTCTCTATATATCGTTGATTTTGTCAAACCGCATTCAACTTTGTGTGTGTGTGTGTCCGTGCCCGTGAGAGAGAGGGAGAGAGAAAGATATTCAACTACCACCATTCAAATGACATAAGTTTTTACCAAAAACAAAATTAGAGAGTTGCACAGAGCATAGTCATATGTTGTCAAAAGAGAGTAGAGTTGGATTAGATTTTGGGAGGAAATTTTTGTTATTTAACATTATTAACAAAATAACAACCCCTCCGGCCTCCGCCCTACTACGCTGGCCGGCTATTGTGATGCCAAGACTGAGAAAAGCCACGTCCACAAACACAAGCACATGCCTACACTCCTTACTCCCCCAACATACCCATGGGTGGTCGGTGGTCCCACCACTGTTTTGGAAAAGCACACAAAGTAGAATAATAGCCAAAAGAGAATGAGACGAATGGCTGGGGAGAGTTCTGATTCGGTGTGATGGTACATTGCAGCATTGTACAAGCTGTGGCGTGGTTGTGGTCCCATGCCCCCCTAACAAAACAAAAGCAACAACACAACACAGATGGGGTCTCTGGGTGGTCCCTGCTTTTTGTGAAAAATATAATATAAATAAATAAAAAAAAACCCGTTATTTTAGAATTGAAGACCCACTTCCCCAAAAGCTTTTGTCCCTAACTTGAATTCCCATCATAATGAATTATGAGTAATGAATAACGGAATAAACCCAACCAACCCATACCCAACATCACACAACAAATTCCAAGCACAGGCTCAAGTGTAAAGCTGAGTGGACAGCCCAACCCTTCAACTTGGGTTGCAAATTGTAGAGAGTATAGAAAAAAGCTCATGGGGGAACAGTGACAAAACAGTGTAAGGACGACCCACCCTCCAAAACTCCCAACTGTAGAAACGTCACCGAACTCTCCAAACCCCTATATGTTTCTCCCTTAATGGGCAAAAACAACTAATGCTTCTACGACTTTTTTTGTTTGTACCTCTCTACCCTTGTTATTTTGATTGTGTATTTGGGATTTAGGTACACAACAACAACTTTCATGCATACATATAACATTCCTATTTTAGACTTTTAAGTTTAGTGTGTAAATACAAACATTCAGATCAGCAATTCTTCTTCTTGTATCCACAATCCATAATAATCCATCCCATCCCAACAACAAAGAATTAGGGGGAGAGTACCTTGACTCAGATCGGATGGGTTGTGGTTTGTGGAGTGGATGCATCGGATCAGAGATATGGAGGACGGGACGAGGCAGTTGCTCCTCTCCCAACAAATGAAATAATTGGACGGCCCAACAAACAAATGAAATAATTCGACGCTAAAATTCATAAATTCATATTTCAGATAAAGATATTAAAAAAAATCAAAAGTAAATAAACACACTCGGCTCAGCGACGATAAAGGCATGCGCAACAGCGCGAAGAGTGATAGAGAAACAGAGAATAAAGCTGCTGCTGTATTTGTTTTTGCTACTTGTTTGTTCCTTTTTACATGCTAACGGAGAAAAAGAAACTGAAAAAATACTCAAAAGTCCATCTTAAATCCCCAAAATACAATTTCTTTTTCCTTTCCTCCTCCCCAACCAATCCTACTACGATTTTCCTTCTTTCCTCTCTTTTCTTTTCAGATCCCATCTACAATTTTACATACAGAAACTGATTCAGCTTCAAGGGTTCAACAGAAAATTTAAACCAAAAGAAAAAAAAAAAGAGCCAAAAGGTATATAAATATATATAATTTTCTTGTTCTTGACGTTGTTTAGCGGGCGATTTCAGTCTGCAAGGACGCATTAAACTCCACCTGTTCAACTTCCCACCTCGCCTTGGCGATGACTCCATCGTGCACAGGCACGTACTCCTAATCAAACAAAACATTATCATTCATTGAAAAACAAACAAAAGAAAAAGACACAATAGTATTGCAAAAAGTCTGTTAAAGCTTCTTTCTCCATTTCCCGTTTTCCTTTGCCATTTTTGTTCCATGTTATCACTTTTAGACTACTGCAGAGACAAACCACACCTCAAGTTTCTGAACGAGCTCTTTCGCATTTGGAGCAGAGACAATTATATGCCGCTGAGAAGGCATGATAAAGCCATCGTCCACAGCTTTGTCGATGAAGGTCAGCAGGTAATTGTAGTACCCGTCCACGTTCAGCAAACCCACCTGCAGAGCAACACTTGAGGTTAAGCTTTCGCTCTAGCTTTCTATCTAATAGAAAATCAACCTCGATTATTAATTTCTATTTCTTTTTTCTTTTAATTGAATTGCTTACAGGCTTGTCATGGATGCCAAGCTGAGCCCAGGTGATGACCTCCAATAACTCCTCGAGGGTTCCGTAGCCACCTATTGACAGGAGAGAGAGAGAGAGAGAGAGAGAGAGAGAGAGAAAATAAAGAGATCTCCATTTAGTGACTAGGAAAGGAAAGTGAAGGATCTTAACTGCTAAGAGAACACTTAAATTTTTAATACTTATATATTTTTGTTGGCAAGTGAGGAAGCGGGAGGTACCTGGCAAGGCAATAAAACAATCAGAATGGCGGGCCATCTCCGCTTTCCTTTGGTGCATGTCTGCTACAGGTTTTACCTCTCCTACTGTTTCTCCAGTTATCTGTGAAAAGGTGAATTGGACTGTTAAGAGTCGCAAAGGTAAATGTTATGACGATTAAATTAAAACAAAGAATAGGAATTTTGATGTTTCGAACCTCTTTGCACATCAGGGTCTTGGGAATGATCCTGTGAACAGAAGAAACCCAAAATCAGAATACGAGGAAAACCAAAACATGGTCGATATACGGAAAGGAGAAAAGAAAAACCGTCTGAATATACAAGCTATTTACCCTAAAACATGTCCTCCGCCGCGATGAACAGCTTGAGAAACCAACCCCATTAACCCAATGCTTCCGCCTCCATAAACTAGATCCAACCTTCTCGAGACCTTGAAACATTTGAGAGAGAAACAAAAGTAAGAAACTCCACCCCAACATGAGAAACAGTAAATGGGCATGCAGAGAGAGAAGGAGAAGAGAAAAAACAGAGGGAGAGATAGGAGGGTTAGCACTCACCAGCTCTTGCCCTAATTCAAGGGCAGCATCCCGATAGCAGTCTCGTTTACCAGTACTGCTTCCGCAGAAAACACAAACCCTCTTGAACCTAGACTTCACAGTTTTCTCCTCCATATCCATTATGAGATTTCTCTTTGCTCTCTCTCTCTCTGATTTTTCACACCCAGTAGGACTGCCTGCTATAAACGGAAGGAACAATGAGTAATATATATATATATATATATGGGATTGTGGACTCCAAATTAATGAGAGAAGTGGGAATGAAGACAAAAAGGAAAGAGAGAGGCTTCTTCTACGTAAATGACTAATGAGGAGAGGTGTACCCTACATCCCTCACCTTTCATCCCTTTATAGAGAGAAAAATCGAACGCTCCCCATTAAACAATTTGAAAAACCAAAAGTAAAAATAAAAACATTCCTCTCTTTCAATATCCACCACCACCGCCAGCGCCAGGGCAGGCGTCTCTCTCTCTCGTTATTAGCACATACAATCATGACATTGTGACAAACTGCACGTGTGGAACGTCTAAATCATCCATTATATTATACTAACGTACCTGATGATGATTCTGATGGATTTAATCTGAACCCTTCTTTTCACATGTTAATATATTTTTTTTCCTCTCTCTGGATCGGGGTAAAATAGGTAACCGATCCCAATAGCCTTAAACAGTGAAACTAACAAAAAATTAAAAAAGAAAACAGTGATGTTAATAACTTTTCATGATATCCGCACCATGGGAAAAAGCAAAGCTCGCTCTTTTACAATACAAGTATCCCACTTCCGCTGCGAGTGTGCAAGTCCCGGGCCCCGCTGTTCGAACGGGTCTTGCACTGACCGAAGCCGAGTACTACTTCCGCTGCCAAAACTCAAATCTCAAAACAAAATAAAAGTAAAAAACCAGAATCATCGTCTCTTAAGTCTTCTTAACAACAAAATTTAAATATCATGCTCATCACCAATATAATGATTAATGATCTTTTGGTTTTAAATTTTACTGTGGTACACATATCCCAAATCAGACCCTCCTGATTGAGTTGCTCCCCGTTTCTAATCAAAGGCCAAGGGCACTTTGATCATTTAAAGAATGGAATGAATGAACTACTACAGGTCTCAGTCGCATACGTAGGAGGTAGGACGGAAAGACCGTAGAAGTGCCAAATAAAAACATCCAAATGCCTCTCTCTCTCTCTGATCCCTTCTCTTTCAAACTTTTTTTCCTCCATGATCAATCATCGCTGGGATGACATGGGGCCCGCATGCGGGACTTTTGGTTACCAGTTACCTATGGGGAGTTGGGACTAAAATAAAGACTACTACTATCAAATATCAATTATCAAAGAGAGAGAGAGAGAGAGAGAATCATCATCGCGTCCCGCATTCTCTCTCTCTCTCTCTCTCCCTCTGCCGTCTGAGAGAGGTATGACGGTTGCTTCAGCCTCCACATCTCGCACGTTCATATTTAATGCGCATCACCCCTTTCATATAGGCCCGTACGATGTAGTATGCATACGTGTCATCAAAAGCTGTTCACAAGAATTGCTTGCCCCTTCTGAAATGATTGGCATATGGGCCCATACTTCCTTGAGCTGTGATTGGTTGTACCATTTTTCTAAAAATATCATAATATTGATTTTTTTCACTTTTACGGTTCGATTGGTATCATCGTCATCGCTATCAATCTATCACCATTCGTTCAGAGGGAGTAAATTCACGACGAATCATGTTTTATTCTTTTTCTTTTATATTATTATATGTTATTTTATATTCGTTCAGAGGGAGTAAATTCACGACGAATCATGTTTTATTCTTTTTCTTTTATATTATTATATGTTATTTTATATTCGTTCAGAGGGAGTAAATTCCCATGGATGGATGGGATATATGTATATACAGGCATACGATTTCCCTTTGTGATCGAGAATCATCAGCTGCGCTCGAGTCGCTCGACCGGACCAACTAAAGAACAGAGTGTCCGAATCACTGGCTTTCTACATGGACCACTGTTTTATTTTTTTCGTTGACCATTCCCGTTGAAAAGTAAGACATAAGCAATTTTAATTTTCTTTTGAGACTTTCCATTTAACTTTACCTTTCATTTTCTATCATTTTTATCCAATCAATCAAATATATCCAATGTGGCCATTTAGATAACGGTTGAAATTTCTCAACTCATTAAGAAACCCAGGACCTTATTAAAACATTTTGGTATTACTGAACGAAACCGAAAGACAATGTAATAAGCGTTTTAGTTCGAGTTCAGTCACTTGAGCTGTAATCACTTATCAAAACAGCCCCCCCTATAACATGCAATTCAGGTCCAGGTGACATTGTATAGGCAGGCGATAATGAATGTGAAACTGTTGTTCCGAAATCCGAACCGATGGCAAATTACCATATCAGATAGCCTTAAAGTTGCCACTTGCCGCGTAGACAAGACAGGTATTTCCAGTAAGTCAGTCAAAGATGGAGAAAACAAAAGAAAAAGAGGCTCATCAATCCGAAGCAGGCAAGTGGGTGGCCTGGCCCAACCATATACCGGTACGTTGACAGCGCCGTGGGCTATGGTGTGCCATCACTAAATTTAAGTCCCCCTATGGCCCGCCGATTCAGTTTTGACGTTAAAAACCAAACAGGAGAGGAGGAATTCCCGAGGAAGACATGGGCATGCAGACAACTGGACAAGAGAGAAGTAGGGAGTAGGGAGTGAGTAGGGACTACTGGACTACAAAGGGACGTCAGACGTGTGTGTGGGTGGGGGGTAGAGCTTTCTTCAAACTTCCAACGGAAGGTACAAATGGGAATGCAGGAATGGAGCGCGAGCGGCGCAATCATTATTCTGCGCCACTACCGATATCATAAAACAGGACTAGCATTTAATGTTACTCCCGCAGTTCCAGTTTAATGAAGGGCATGAATGGTTTTTTCATCGATTCATTAAATTAATTAATACTGTTAATGGTCAACATGTCTTCGTGCTTCTCTCTCTCTCTCTCTTTTTCGTAAAAGGTTTCGTGCTTTCCCTTTCTAAACCAAAAAATTAAAATGGAGACGCCAAAAACATTTGTTGTTCAATTTTATTTTATAGGGGACTTCCAAAAAAAACATTATTTTATAGGATTTCTGAAGCGGAATCTGTTCACAATAAAATACTTTTCCGACAAACTTCAAAATGATCCGTATCCGCTTATCTTACCACGATGAATCGATTCCAATCTTACGATAGCATGTGCGGACAAGGATCATGTTAAAAACTTAAAACTTGTTGGGAAGGCATTTTGTTGTGAGCAGATATACCCACCCGACACTTGATTCATCCATCAATCGTTTCTTTTTTTTTTTTTCTTTTTTTTTTCAGTATCATAATTGATAAACAGCACTCAGAGTTCCTACTTCCTACGCCGTTTACCCAACCTAGGCTTTCTAGGCTCTAACATCTACAAGCATGAACAGACCTATATAAACCTATTTTGCCACGTAGATGAAAACAAGCATTGAATAGGAATGCTACCTAAAATTTCAATATTCATAAAAAAGATACTGAAACCGAAATATTCCTTCAAAACACATAAGGTCTCTGGCGGAGATTTGGAGATTTGGGATCGAATCCCGCCTGCGTTTGGTTGGGGGATGAGCTATCCCGTTGTACAGGCAGACATTGTACATTAAATGCATGTAGAAATGGCACCAAGGTGGGACGATATTCCTCAGCTCCAACCCTGCCTGATCCTACCCAGCGATAAAAATGATACTCCAAATCCCTAATAGGGATGACAACCCAAATCCCCAAAACTTTTAAATTAAAATTATTTTTAGAAAATAGATTTATTTAAAATAGAGAATTTTTTAAATATAATATTCGAAAATAATATAAATAATATTATGTATGTATATATTCAAGAATTCACTCCCCATCCTTGTCCGGCTATCACTATCAACCCCCATCCTCGCCCTATCCCTGCAAAGGCTATCTGTATCCCATCGAGGATTGATATTTGATAGGGTATCATTCCAGTTGATGACTTGCTTTTATCTACGTGGCAAAATAGGGTTATAGGCCTTTTCATGCTTGTATATTGATAGGTATAAAAGATAAGGTTCAAAAACCACCTAAGGACTCCTTAGACCTTAAATCGGGGTTTTGACCGGTTCAGGGGATGGACGGATTTTAAATCGACTCCTTTAAGCCAAATTTAAAAAAAAAAAAACCACCTAAGGAAACTACAAATACTGCTTGATACACCTCTATCGAATCGATATATCAAGCATATCGATTTGTATACCTTAATAAGAGAACTTGGATTTGTATACCTAAGTGCAAGATGAATTGAAAGCTTGTAAAGGAGGATGCAAAAAAATAAATCCAACTCTCGTGGGCCGTCCTTCAAGTTATTTCATATAACAAAAAAAAAAACAAGAAAAAAAAAGGAAAAAGAAGAAATATCTCCCTTATTCAAACTTCAGTGTATGAAGAAACAGGTTCATGGTTTAAGTAATGTGGGGTCACGATCATCGTATGTTTTTTTAAACCAACTTTTTCTTATCTTTTCACAAGCATTAGTGTTTAACCTATTCACAACCGTCAATTTGTACACAGATGAGTAGTTCCACAATGCACATGGGAGGAAATAAAATAGCATTAAAATCGGACAGAAACATTAATAAAATAATAGTATTAACACTAAGGTTCAAAGTATCGGAAACGTTATATATATATATATATATATATTAAAAATGCAATTTTAAGAGATGTATCATGATACATTTTAGATACGCATACGTATTGGAGAAAAACTAAGATATGCATAGGTATATTTGGAAACATTATAAATACTTTAATAAATCATAAAAATATATCAATAACACTAAATATAAGGGTTCAATGAGGTGTATATACATTAAATTAATATATTTTAATGGTTTTTTGAAGAAATATATTATAGTTAATTATAATTTCCTTAAAAATCCTATGCTTAACTATAATTTATAAATTATAATTTTTAAGTTTTAATGTTTTATGGGATGGGAAAAAACCAACGCTCCTATCCAACAACAAAATATGCATTGGCACAACTTCTGAGTGAAAATATAATTAGTAAATATTTATTATTTAAATAATTATTATGTATTAATTATTTCCAAAAATTATAAAAAAAAACATTATATAATATATTCAAAAAATATTATTAAAGAAAAAATTTTAATTTCTTTGTGGATATGATAGATCATCCATAGAATTATAATATATTCAACATTGTGATAAAATGATAAAATATAATTAATTAATTATTTATTTATAATTCT